TCTCCTTCAGGTTTTCTGATGCTCGGCTCTTCTGGTTGGGCCAAGGTCGGAGGCATAATTCTTGCCCAAATTTAAGTCATGTGGGGGAGGGGTGTTCCTGCGACACTCGCCACACTTCCCTTCCGCTGGCTAGTGTTGGGGCCACCATGCCTTTTTTTCCTCCTCTGTCCTCGCTCTGGCTGGNAGAAGCCCAACCGCTTCTCTTCATTTTGTTCGCTTGGTTGCAATTCAAGCCTTTGTCAGTTAATTCCCAAGGACATTCAACTTCCATAGTGTTAGGTTTAAAGAGTTAGGCAGAGTTTAGACTCTTCAGTTATTCAGTTCTAGACCAACAACAATTTTGTTTGGGGAGGCGAGAGGCTCTCGGTGGCTGTGTGCTCTTCCTTGGCCCTGGCGGCGGTGGTTCGCCCTACCAGTCGTTCTTCTTGGTGGCTCTCACCCTAGCATTGAAGATTTTTGGAGTTCGGATCTGAAATGAGAATCATCTCCTTGTCAGATCTGTCTAGGAGACTCGAGTTTGGTCGCAATGGTTTTGGGGTTTCAGTTCGTAGCTCTGTTAGGATTCTGTGTTGTGGGGTTGGCTCGAGTGCCGAATTGAGTCGTAGTGCATTTTGCCTGCAAGGTTTAGGCAGGCCTTATTCTATATGTTTTTAGGTGTATGTTGTTTTTTGTTCGTTTTCTGTTTCACATTTTGTTAGTCCAACGTCTGACTTTTAGTCTTTGATATGGAGATTGTATCTCCTTTATGATGTTTTGTTTGTGTTTATGTTTTCTTTACTAATCTTATATTTTTTTTAACATGTGTAATTCTAAAACGGTGGTTCAGACTTTTGAGTTTTTAATTTTTAAAATAATTATCGTTTGGAAAAAGAAAAAACAATAATGGGGTCGTTTCTTTAAAGTATAGAGGCAAAATATAAAGGGAAAATTTTATGAATACTACATGAAAATAAAGTATTTTCAAATTTACCTTCCTACAACAAATAATTTGGTATATACCTAATAAACCAACTTTAATTAACTGATTGCCTAAATATAAGTTACCAATTGTAACTTCCTCCATCCCATATGTGGGTGGCGTGATTTGTGGATGGTTACTAGGAAAAAAAAAAAAAGTCATCCCTCTTTTTATGGATTGATTAGGAGAGAGAAATGATTTTATGGGATTGATTAGGAGAGAGAAATAAAAATATGCTTATAATAACTCATTTAATTCCTTAATTCATGCACCTTGTATATTTTTAATAAATAGAGAGATAAAAACATGTATTGTAATTCACGCAGTTGTCCAATGAGTATATGTTGCGTTTGTACTAGTATATATTCAATATATGTTGCAATGAAAAACGTGTCTTCCATCAAAAAATTATGTCTTTTTTTTGTTTACTTTTATACATAAAAGTATATATATAGTTTATAAATATATTATAACAAGTTATTTATATTCATATACCAAAAAAATCTTTTAATATACTGAACATATATTCCCTATATACACAACATATACCGAATGCTTAAAAAAAATCTTCTAATATACTGAACATATACTCATGTGGTATATATTGCGTTTATGTTAGTATATATTCAGTATGTGTTCCTTCAAAAAAATTATGTTTCTTTTTTTTTAAGACATTTTTTTCATTGCAACATATACTGAATATATACTAACATATGTATTCTATTTTTTTTTTTTACTTTCATAAATAAAAGTATACACATAGTTTATAAACATATTATAACAGATTACTTATTTTTTTATGAAAAAAAACTTCTAAATATACTAAACATGTACTCTATATACACACAACATATACCCGCAACATATACAAAATGAAAATTACTTACCAACGAATCAAGCACATCAAGTGTTCGACAATAA